TTCTAGCGCCTGCGGCCGTCACGATGACGAGGGTGAGCTCAGGGAAGCCATGCTTGGCTAAGTGTGCCTGGTTCGATTGCATGCTAGCGAATTGTTTCAGTGCTGCCAGCAAGGTGGCTTAGAAATGATATCAGACAAGGAGAAGTCCACATCAAAAGCGCAGATACGACCGCATTGAGAGGAACATGCCGTGACCATTGATAGCTCACGCCCAATGGCCTTCTAGCCAAACTGATGTGCTCCGTAGCCTGAAGTCATTTCCCAAAATGTGCTCACTACTTGCAATGTTAGGCATTGACTTGAGGGACTCTTTCCTCATTTTGCTGTCTCTGCCGACTTGCTGTTCTGGGCTGGATCTTCCGAGCCCCTGGTCTGCTTGAGCCTCTTGAACTCGTCCCTAGCATTGTCGAGCTGCTCTGCCAACGATTTCATGCGAACCTCCTGTAAATTCTGCTTGAGATCTTCCATTCTGGATAACGAACGATCGCCTTCGCTGGTTACCTCTGGATGGGCTTCGGACTCTGAGCTAGAGTCTGAGTCCTTGCGCTTGCGCTCCGATTGGGACACGGGCATTCTGGGATCTGACAGCCTCCTACCCGTCTCCCTCTTTGACTTCTTCGATTTCTCCTCCTTCTTGGACTTTTTGTGAGCCTTCCTGGGCTTACGAATGGTTCTGTCCTTATTAAGCTGCTTCGAGCGGGACGCCATGGCTGCAATCTGTGTGAGCGCGAAACACACTGAGTGGCCTCCTGGGAGGCCGGTCTGGGAAATTGCTGACCTGGCCAGCTGCCTTGAAAAACGGCAACTTGAGCCAAAATGGCTTGAGCCAAAATGGCTACGGAGGAGGAGGAGGAGGAGAAGGAGGACGAGGAGGAGGAGGAGGAGGAGGAGGAGGAGGGAGGAAGGGGAGGGGGAGGAGGACAAGCTAGGTGCGCTCCCTTTTTATCTGACATCCTACCCCTCCCTCCCATCCCTGACAATGGCGCAGATCCCCTCTCTACTCGCACAGTCGGATGTCGAGCAGGGCAATGATCCCGAAAGGGTACGCGATGCATTGTAGAGCACGGCATGGCATGGCGTAGAAGAGCACCGCGAAGCGTAGCATCAACCTAGCATTGCATTGCATGCCGTGGCATGGCACGGGAAATGACGCCAACGCTGCAGCGGGAGCACGAGTCGAAACGAGCGGAAGCGCGGAAATGAGGCCAGCGCTGCAGCGGGAGCACGATTCGGAACGAGCGGAATCACGCCAAAATCGGCCTGGGAGGCCACCGAGCGCCGGAGGCAGAAATTGAGCATTTTCAAAAGAAAATAATGTGTATTAAAATGGCCTTTTTTCGGCGCCGCCTCGGAACTCGATTTTCCGGCGCCAGCCGGAACCGGCTCCGGACCCGGCCCGGGCGCCGGCCCGGGCGCCGGCTCGGGCGTCCGGCCTGGGCGCTGGCTCGGGCGCCGGCCCGAGCGTCGGAATCGGCCCAGGAGGCCTCCCGGGCGCCGGAAGCAGAAATTGAGCATTTTCAAAAGAAAATTGTGTATTATAATGGTTTTTTTTCGGCGCCGCCTCGGAACTCCATTTTCCGAGGGCGGCCGGAACCAGCTCCGGACCCCGCGGCCCGAGCGCCGGCCCGGGCGCCGGCTCGGGCATGCAGCCCAGGCGCCGGCGGAAATGATGCCAGCGCTGCAGCGGGAGCACGATTCGGAACGAGCGGGGCCCGAAAATGAGGCTGGCGCCTCAGCGAGAGCAGCATTTTGGAAAACATGCAGGCGAAAACCTAACTCTGGGGAAACCTGTGTAAAAAAACAGTACGCGGGGGGGGGGAGGGGCGAACACTCCCAAGACGTCATCAGGGGAAGGGGGGAGTAGCATTCACATTGGATAATTGTGGTGGGAGGAGGAGGAGGAGGAGGAGGAGAGGAGGAGGAGTAGGAGGAGGACGAAGAGGAGAGTGGAGGAGGAGGAGCAGGAGGAGGAGGGGGGGGAGGAGGGAGGAGGAAGAGGAGGAGGAGGAGGAGGAGGAGGAGGAGGAGGAGGAGGAAGGAGGAGGAGGAGGAGGAGGAGGAGGAGGCGGAAGAGGAGGAGGAGGAGGAGGAGGAGGAAGAGGGGAATGAGGAGGCGGAGGTGCACGATCGCCATCCCCGTAAGAGCCACCACCGAGCAGGTCAGGGAGCTTCTCCTGCCACGCTGCAGGGCCGAGGAGGCCGCGAGGCACGCGGCGTGCCTCCCAGCGAGGCCACGGCGGCAGCGTCGCTGCCGCCGTGGCCTCGGCGGCGGCCAGACCTGCAGCCTGGCCTCACGCTGGAGATGCGCGTGCCGTCTCGTTGACGTCCTGCAACTCCCGGGCAAACAACATACGACAACGGCCAACGCAAACACGGCCACGTCCTTGGAGCGCGTGCTGGGGCTCGCGAACACCACGGCCGTTGTGCTGGGCCAAAAGCTGTCCATGGGCACGGCAGACTCGGGCGAGTGGTCGCAGCGCATGGCCAGTGGCCTGCATGGCCAAGCAGGGGTGGAAGACAGCAGTTGACCCCAGTGTGCGCAATGAGGTTGGAGTGTGGGAGCGACCCTAGCAGTGCCCAGGCACATCGCCATGAGCTTCGTGGCGGCAGCCTGCGGGACTCGTGGGACGCGTCGCCGCCTGAGAACCCAGGCCGCCTGGCCGCCGCGTGGGTCGACGTCGGCGAGCCTGACGGGATCCTCATAGGCTCGTGCTCCCCGTGGTACTTGGAGGGCCCGACGGCTAGGAACCTGGCGGTTCTGGCGGCTTTTGACGCGCTGGGCGACGCCACGGCAATGCAGTGGGTCCTCTGGGGCGACTTCAACAAGGGTGATTGACAAAATGAAGGGCGTCATCATCCGGCCGAGTGAGGGCTTGTGCAAGGTGCCCAAGAGTGAAGCCAGCACCCGCGACTGCATCGTCTCGCGGAGACTGTCGCAGACGGTGCAGTGGAGAAGGACCTGGCCATGCGTGCCAGATGCAGCCCCCAATTCCCCGTCCTCAGACATCCGCCTGCTCCAATTTTTTTGGTGCGTGGACCCAGGAGGTCTGGACCCATTCCCCGGGACCGGTTTTTCGTCCTGGATCGTTGTTTGACGCTCCCGAGGCCCGGCGAGGGCTCCCGGAGGCCGAAACCTGCCCAAAACCGCCTGCCCGAAACCTGCCCAAAACCGCCCAAAACCGCCGGTGGCGAAGACCCAGCGCTGGCCGCTGGACATCCCGCGGGGCTGCGCGGCCGCCCGAGGAGCAGACAGCGGCAGGGGGGAAGAGGACGGGCATCATCATCATCATCATCATCATCATCATCATCATCATCATCATCATCATCATCATCATCATCATCATCATCATCATCATCATCATCATCATCATCATCATCATTGTCATCCTCCTCCTCCTCCTCCTCCTCCTCCTCCTCATCATCATCATCATCATCAGCATCAGCATCAGCATCAGCATCAGCATCATCATCATCATCATCATCATCATCATCAGCATCATCATCATCATCAGCATCAGCATCAGCATCAGCATCATCATCATCATCATCAGCATCATCAGCATCATGAGCATCATCATCATCCTGATCATCATCAGCATCATCATCATCATCAGCATCATCAGCAGCATCATCATCATCATCATCATCCTGATCATCATGATCATCATCCTGATCAGCATCATCATCATCATCATCATCATCATCATCGTCATCATCATCATCATCATCTTCACCAGCATCATCATCATCCTGGTCCTCATCATCATCAGCAGCATGAGTATCAGCATCATCATCCTCGTCATCATCAGCATCACCGCCATCATCATCATCATCATCATCATCATCATTTGCATTTCAAGCATCATCATCCGCATACTCATCATCACCATCATCATCACCCTTCTCTTCATCATCATCATCAGCAGCATGATCATCATCATCAATAACATCGTCATCATCAGCATCATCATTATAATGTGATCCGCCCTAAGAACAAGCAACCTCATCAACATCAGCAGCATCATCATCAACATCATCATCAGCATCATCATCAGCATCCCATCACCATCAGCGTCGTCATCAGCATCAACACCAGCATCGTTATCATCATCAACAACAGCATCAGCATCGCCACCACCACAACCACCGCGGCCACCACCATCATCATCAAGATCCTCCTCCTCATCATCATCAACCCCATCACCATCATCGTCACCATCACCATCACCACCGAAACCACCATCATCATCAGCATCCTCCTCATCATCATCACCAAGATCAGCATAACAAGTCATAATCATGCGATGTTGAAATAAGATGAAACGGATGATACAACCTGAATACTAATACTAATGAAAATCACGACCAGCATCATCAGCAGCAGCATCATAACTAATGGCAGTGTCATCAGCCTGGTCATCATCCTCTTCATCATCATCGTCATCATCATCATCAACATCATGATCATCCTCGCCACTACCATCATCTCCACTCTTAGCATCATCATCAAAATCAGTCTCATCATCATCATCGTCACCGACACAACCACAGCGGCCACCACCATCATCATCATCATCATCATCATCATCATCATCATCTTCATCCTCCTCATCATCATCACAACCATCTCCATCACCATGACCATCACCAGCATCATCATTATTCCCATGATCCTCATTATCGGCACCAACACCATCATCATCGTCATCATCATCAACAGCAGCATCACCATCATCACCACCACTACCATCATCAAACCACCATCACCATAGCATAAGCGTCATCAACAACACAACCACCAGAATCAGAATCAGCATCATCAGCATGATCATTCTCGCTATCACCAGCAGCACCTCATCATTCTCCTCGTCCTCGCCATCATCACCACCACCACCATCATCATCAGCATCACCAACATCAACAACAACAACAACAACAACTACAACAACAGCAGCAGCAGTAACAACATCATCATGCCTCGCCCGCGCGCTACCAGTTCACCTCCCGAGGCCCTCTAAGGAAGAACCGCAACCCCAGAGTCTCCCCCCCGTCCCCGCGGCGCTCTCTGGCAGTGGTAGTAGGCCGCTCGAGGTCCAGGCCCACAAACCGCACAGTTTTTTTGTTGGGGCGTCTGCTTCTGAGAGACGGGGGGGCCCGTGTCTGGGGAGCCAGCAAGGCAACGAGGCCGCTACCCCCCAGACCTCTTCCAGAGCGAGTTCTGGCAAGAACTTGTGGCGACGAGGGTACCCCAGAAGGCCCGAGCAGGGGCAGAGCAGCCGCACCGATGCGTTTTCGTCCTCTGAATCTTCGCAGGGGTGCGGCTGCCTGCACCGGCACCCGCCACTAGCCACTGGGAAACGCGGCGCGAGGCAGCCCTAAGGGGGGGCCAAGCCGCGGAGACTCCTGCGGGCCGCCTCGGCCATGCACTGCCGCGCCTCCCGCAGTTTGCCGCGGGCGGAGTGGGCGGCGGCGAGGTTGGCCCACGCCTGGGAAGGCTGGTTGAACATGATCACGCGCGGGCCCCAAGGATATACACACCACCACCACCATCTCTATTCCCCCTCCCTTCTCCACCCTCCACTTCCACACCTCTTTCCTGGGAAAGGAGGGGGTGAGGGAAGTGGTGGTGGTGTATGTCCTTTCATACCCCAGACTTATGTACCTTGAGCCCCAGGCATTGCATCTGCCTGTTGTCAGCCACGAGGGGCCCTGCGGTTTGAAATATGGAGCAGAAAAACGGGGTCAAAGCCTACAGTCGCCATGTGGTTACGGCGTTGCTTGTTTCGCAACATCGGATCACATGGTGTACATATATATATATATATATATACATATATGTACGTACTCATCTATGTATGTATGCTCTGGGTGTTCTTGACGGGCCAGGTGTTTTTAATCTCGCCAGCGGGCAACGATCTGTGTGTGCCGATCTCGCCAATATACGTGTAGCAACGAGACCCTGCACACGCACCTTGCAAATCTCAAAGGAACCGGTTCCACCAGAGTCCTCAAAGACGCCTTCCCGCCCAAAGGTAACACCTTGTATGCCGTAAATAAACCAGGCCCCAAGAGACCCACAGCTGAACCATTTCCAGCAACTTAAGATTCGATAGGATCACTTTAGCATATTGTTGGAGGATACCATCGACCAGCTTACGAGGATAAGGCTGAGCTCGCTTAGTGCGATGCATGCCCGATTCATCGTGCCACTGCAGACAAACATGTGGTCTTCCAGAGATATCGCAAACACGAGTTCCTGAGCACTGGAAGGGCAAGCTCGAGAGGCCCACGTTAGCAGACACAAACCTCGTCCGCCTTCTCCAAAGCATTCCGCACGCGCAGTAGTCAAGGACGGCAACGTCATGTCGGAGGCGTGTAAGAGGTGGGCCCAAGCAGGCATACTCCACAAACGACTAGTGTGAGGATTCTCGATAGTTACCGGAATGCCGATGGAGCGGGCGAGACGGAAAAAGCCGGCGAACAGCGAGCACAACTCGTTAGCCTCCTGGACCTTGGACAGCACACGGTCTGGCAAACCTGGAACTCCCCCTGGGCACTGGCGAGACCTCCATCCTTCCCGGTTTGCCATCGAAAACGCGGTGCACGGGGTCCCGAGCCAAAGCGCCCTGACGAGCTTCGAGCGAATCCAGCCGCGGACGAGGCGGGCGAAAGCCCGATTCGAGAGGTCATGGCTCGGCCCCACCCGAATGTCGATGGCAAACACAAGGATATGTCGTAAGCCAAGGGTAGACCACCACGCTGCTGACCAGCGGGCTTGCCCGGAGAAAAGCTCCAGTGCAAATCCATTTGACGGAGTAACGAGGAGGCTCGGGATGGTGCGAAGATCATCGACGACAAACGGTCGGCGCATCGCGCCGCGGTCTCCTGGGGCGGGACGGCCAGACGCTGCACCGGCTCGTTGAGGCGATCGTCCTTGACGTAGTGGTGCAGGGATGAGCCCGACTGCCATCGACCTTGCTTCTTCACTCCTGCGAGATCGCGGCCGCCACCGAGGAACTCAAGACCGGCGCCGCCGCGGCGCAGCTGGTACAGGGACACTGGCTGCAGGGGGCCGAGCGGTAGCGCGGCGACTGCGTGTTGAGACTGCCTGCGTCTGTGAGGACATGCCAGGCTGGTGATGCCAGCGTCGGGGCTGCCCAGACTGATGAGCGCGAGGTGATCGAGGGCGAGCATCTCCAGGAAGATCAGCGCCGCCACCGTACAAGACAAGGCGAGCCGCGCACGCGATGGTGCCAGCGTTCCGAAGCCCATCAGGGCCCGTCGAGCCCGGGGCCGCCCGGGAGTCCTGCGGGTCGCGCGGGAGTCGCAGAGCACGATGGCGGCCAGGAGGGCCGAGGCCTTGTCCACGACTTCGCCGTTGAGGAAGAGGTCGCGGATGTAGGCGACCACCGCGTGATCCAGCTCTGTCACAGTGCTGATCAGGAGCGCTGAGCTGGCCGCCCACAAGAGAAAGGCCTGTACCATCTCGCGGTGCCGGGTCTGCTGGGCAAGCCGAACCACGCTCTGCTCAAGCAGGGACTGGCCGGGGATTGTCCACGCTGGTTCCCGCTGGCGCTGGCGGCCTCGAGCACGGCGGCGGTCGCCCCGGCGGGCGCTCACCAGAGCACCCCGGTCGAGGACTCGGCGAGGCGCCGTCGCACGCTGCAGGCTGGAGGCCCGGCGGGCGCGCGGAGGGCGAGAGCCCGTTGCGGCGTGTCGCCTGCGCACGGGGGGGCGAGCCGAGCTCGTCGGGCACGGCCGACCCTCCTGGGCGGTCGCCGCCCAAGCCGCCAGCGGCGTCGAGGCCGTCGAAGGCGGGGCCAAGATGGCGGCCGGCGGCTCTGGCGCAATGCTCGCGGGCGGCCGAAGGAGCGGCGCCCAAGGCCACCCCAGCATGCACGCGCCGCGGGCGGTCGGGCACGATGTCCCCCAGCCCAGGTGGAGGACCGAGTCTACGTTGACTGGCAGGGGCTCGAGCCAGCCGAACGTTGCGAGAGGGCGGGTCGCTAGCATTGTGCTCCGAGGGAACCCATCGCCAGACATGGTAGGAGAACGACGCGAGTGACAAAGCCCCGTGCTGACGACAGATTCGCATAATAGCCCACGTCGGCGAACGGCCCTTCGCAACCGCCAAGATGGGGGCCATGGAGCCCCCGAGGCGGAGGTGACGACAGCCAAACGACGCCAAGGACCCAGTACAGCGTTTTGTCGACCGGAACATGGCGCGACCTTCGAAGCAAACCTGAGGCTCGGATCTCGCCCAGGCCTGGGACGCCACGAGATGCCAATCCCCATCCCACACCGACGAGGGCACCGAGGGAAAGGATTTCGTGGCGGCGTCCGGCCCGGGCGACGAGGCACCGACCCCCTCCGGGGCGGCGGCGCAAGCCCGGGGCTGACCCAGCCGATGACTCGCGGCGCGGGCGCCCAGCCCAGGCTGCAAGCTTTCGTCCAAATCATCTCGGGTGACCACCGGGGGCCCCGCCTCACCCGACGCGCCGGGGGTCTCACAGGACAGGCCATGCCCCCCATGAGAGAGCCCCGATCGAGGCGGATCCACCGCCGGCAACGAGGGAGAGGACACCCCAGACACCCCGTCAGCTGCGCCCAGCGGGGGCGACGAGGAGGCCGAGGCATCGAAGCCCCGGAGGCGGGCGGCCAGGAGGGCCGAATCCCGAGGACACCATGTCTTCTCTTCTTCCCGCGAGAACCTCCATCGCTCGTTCTGCTTACCTAACTCGGAGACCACGACGGGGTCCAAGTTCTGAGTGCATACTCCCAAGCCCCAACTGGATGCATTCACCACAGAGACCTCCGAGGGCCACGGGGCGGCCAGGTCACGAGCGGCAAGAACGATGAGATGACTAGCCCACAAGAATTCCCTTCTTACTGCCGGCCACAGCGCCACTGCCTTGTCGCCAGCGCGCTCAATGAACGAGCAAGCCGCGTTGAAAACGCACAGGAGTTCCCGGCGGACCAGAGCCCAGGTGGTAAAATGCGACACGAGGATCTCTAACATCTTCCCCGAAGCATACTTCCCCCGAACGAGCTCCTGGAAACCCAGACGTAACTTCCAACAGGTGACGGGGTTGATTCCGACTTCAGCTGAATCATCCGAGAAGGTCCAACACAGGGTCGCGCCCCTTTTCGCGTCTTCCACCGGGTGCACAGGTAGCCGAGCACGCGGAAGCTCGGCGGAGACGGCGAGGACGGCATCGCCCGCGAACTGCTGAGACTGGATGAGGGAGATGAAATCGTCAACATATTCTGTGTGCATCATAGGCCGAAGAGGAGGAGCGGGTCTGCCATCGAAGAGGGCATTGTCTCCCCGAACGCCAGGTGCACGCCGAGCGACGACCTCAAGGGCATGTTGGAAGATCCACAGAGATAATTTCCAGCCCGTCGGGATCGCCGTGAATAAGGAGGCGATGAACGTCGAGGGAGCCACAGACACACCGTCAACCTCCGAGACGCCCACTTGTCCAGCCGGAACACGAGGAAGCCCAAAGAAACACCGAATCTTCTCGGGAAGAGCTAGGTTGTAGAACGCCTTCGCCACGTCAACACCCCCGACGCAAATAGGTTCACTGGAGTCGACCTGGATTGATGAAAACGAGGACCCACTCGCCGCGTGAACTGGATCGGAGTCGTCAAACCAACAGCTCGAAACACATCCGTCGATGATAACCCGGAGCTTCCCAGACTTCTTGTGCACTGTGAAGACCCCAACCGTTGTTTTGCATCCCGCCAAGCCCGCCTCGCGGAGCCGAGTTAAGACAGAGGCGTATAAGCGTGGAGAGCGCCTAAGGCCTGAGTCCGCATACGGTCTACGGAGGCCTTCGAGGGCCATCCTCTTGCGCGCAAGGCGCTCAGGAAAAATCTTGCTTTCAAGCTTCTCGGCCAATGATTCACCCTCCGAGCCTAGATGAGCCCCCAAAGGCTTCGGAAAACTTCCGGGGGCCGGCAGGTCGAGGAGGTAGACATTGTCTGGGCCGATCGGCGCCAAGGTAGCCGCTTCACCACCACGCGCGCGCCGGGCTCAGAGCTCACTAAGCGCCCCCGCGGCAGAGAGGTCAGGAGGAGGAGGCCCAAGACGATCCACGGCACGCCGAATGCGACGAAAGGCCTCGCACTGCACCGCGCTAGGACGCGCTGGTCCTGATCCAGCAGGCCCCCCGAAAAAAAGTTGATTTAAAATCGAGGCGACGTCTCGGCAAAACTGGCCCGAGCAGGCCTGCCGGAGATGTCGCCTGCGAACGGACCGGGATAAAACTGGCGAGGGCTGACCCACGTCACGGAGGCAGCGGGGAGGAAGAGGGAGAAGGTCACGCTGCCGCTCACAGGTAGAGCCGAAGGCCGTGTCAAAAGGAGGTAGACATGGCATCCCACGGCGATCAAAAGCCTCTCGATTGGGCACCAGGCTAGAGGCTTCATCCGGGCCGCGGGGGAGCATCATCATTGCTTCTTGAGGAGCGCTGCCCGCTCCTCCTTGGCTTTTCGGACTTGTTTCAATATCGCGGCATCCTCCTCGACTTCTCGAGCGACGTGATCGAGCAAAGCAGGGCTCACCATCCGGTGTCTTTGTTGGGGCATGAGAAGATCGCGGCTTCGTCCATCAACCCCACGAACGACACGGTCGAGCTGGTGGGCTTATTCTCTTTGTTGCCGCTCCTCTCGGCTACGCCCATCGAGTCCATCCACTAGACATACTCGGTGAGTTGGGCTTTGCAAGTGAGCGACTCGATCCCTGCCAGGTCGCAGATGTTCGCCCCATCGAAACAGGCAGTCTCCTCGAGCACCCGAAGCGCCGCGGCAAGCATCTCAACACCCGGGGAGTCTGGCTTCAAGGAGAACGCGCTGAGGAACTGCCTGTGATGAGCAACTGGAGAAGAAGATCGTCGGCCCAGCCACTCCGCACACCATTTCACCGTCCTCGGGCCCGGCACGGGCCAATTTACATACGGGAGCTCCTCCAGCTCCTTGCATACGTCACTCCAGCCACGACGAAACCGAGCAAGCATGTGAGAGGAGGCGTCGAGAATCCGAGGATCACGAACAGCTTCGAGGACAGCGAAGGTCTCGGCACCCATGGCGCCAATGTTCCGCAGCACGACACTGAGGCCCGCGGGGGTCTGCACGATGGCCAGCTCGCCCTGCACCATCGCATTCGCATGGAGCTGGACCGCCTCGCCGCGGTTGGCGAAGGTGGTGCTCTCGACCGCGACCCAGGTCGGCGCTGCCACCGCCGCTGCTCCAGCTGCAGGCCCGACGGGCATCGCAGCAGGAGGCGCAGCCCCAAGCTCCGCGGGCACGATGGCACCAGCGCCTGCCGCGGGGGCCGCGGCCACCGGCGCGGCAGCGCCAAGCCCACCGGCGCCGTCGGCGCCCAGCAGCACCAGGCAGCCCGCAGGCGGCGCCACGAAGGGGGGCCCCGCCACGGCCGCCTCGGCGGCAAACACCGCCGCTGCGTACGTCTCACCCGCGGCCTGGTATGCCTTGACCTCCGCAGCCGTGGGAGCCCGCCTGAAGGGATAGCTGTCCTGGGCGGTGATGCCTGGCGGTCGACTCCGATCAGCACACCCACAGACACACACACACACACACACACACACACACACACACACGAATCGCCGCGATGTCTGCCGACCTCCCGGAGTAGTCCTCATCGTACACATCCCCGTCGGGCGTGCAGATGATGAGGCGCCACTCCTCATTCGGAGTCGGAACCGGTCGCCGCAAGCGACCCAACGCCAGACGCTGATGCCAGAGCGGGCCGCCGACGTACAGGAGGACCCAGAGCCAGCGGTCTGGCTGGGCTGCTGACGTCTGAAATCACCGAACAGCTCGTCGAGGCCCAACGCCGCCGGCACAGGTGGCAGCCCGAGGACAGCAAGTAACCAGCGGCACTCCCAGCGAGCACCCCGAGCAGGAGGGCGCACCCGAGCGCAGCCAGTCCCAGCCCTCCCGGCGGAGCAACCTCCTGCGGCGAGGGGGCAGCAGCGGCGGAGCACTCCTGCACGATCGGCGGCGGCGCCCCCGGGCAGGCTGGGCACGCCGCACACAGAGGGCAGGGGTGCAGCGTTGGCCAGCTGGGACAGGCAGGACACGGAGGCGCTGATGGGCAGCGCGAGAGATATGAAACAGTGATCTGGGACGCGTATCCTAAGAAAGGGGAGATGGCGGCCAGCATGGGGCGTGGTCCCGTTCAGTCTTGAGCAACAATGGAAGCGGCCCTCAACGACACTCGAGGCAGACAATTCGCATGTGAACAGAGACCAATATACATAATGTCTGCGCATATCTTTATATAACACAAACATATACAAGCATACACACATGTACTAGTACATATGGCGGTTTCCGGAAAACCTGAGACACGCAAGCGATGCCCTCTCTTGGAACCAAATCTGTCACTTCCGCTGCTTTCCGCTAGCATTCTGCTGGACTCCGCCCACGCCGCTGCCGCCGCCGGTCTACCCCCGCCAGCGCCCGCCAGCCTTCCGGCGCTGTCCCTCGGCGACTTATGCGAGTGTGTGCACATGATACACACATACATACCTACATCTATACACACAAGACACATACGGCAATACATAGTGCTGGCTATGCGGCACCCTGAGGCACGTGTTTCTTCGATCTCTGAGGGTTTGTAAGCGGGGGTGCGGGGGTCAACAGGTCATCGTCCTCCTCCTCCTCCTCCTCCTCCTCCTCCTCCTCCTCCTCCTCCTCCTCCTCCTTCTCCTCCTCCTCCTCCTCCTCCTCCTCGTCATCCTCCTCCTCCTCCTCCTCCTCCTCCTCCTCCTCCTCATCCCGCTCGGTTGCCTCCTCCTCCCTCCTCAACCCTCCTCCTCCTTCTCCTCCTCTTCTGAATATTTGTCTTTGTTTATGATTAGTATTAGTAGTCTACCTCCTCCTCCTCGTCCTCTTCCTCCTCCTCCTCTTCCCCCTCCTCCGCCTCTTCCTCCTCCTCCTCCTCCTCCTCCGCCTCCTCCTCCTCATCCTCCTCCTCCTCCTCCTCCTTCTTCCCCTCCTCATCATCCTCCCCCGCCACCTCCGGGGCAAGCTCGAGACTCCTACCAGGCAACTGGCGGGCAGCCCCGGAATTACACCACCCTCCTGTACACGTTCGCGCGCCTCCGCGTAGTCGTCATCCACGCCGATGCAGCGCGAGAAAGTCGCGACGCAGTCGTCGTACCTCTCGAGCTTCATTTGGGCGCAACCCATGGTGAACCAGATGTTGGTGTGGAGCGGATTGATCCCGACCGCTGCCTCGAAGCACTCGATGGCCTTGGCAAGCTCACCCTTCTGGAACCAGTGGCGCCCCAAGGAGCGCTGAGCGCGGGCGAACCGGTGCTTGGAGAGCTCCCACGCCGTCTCGTAATGCTTCGGTTCCTTTTCCAGGTCGCCGAGGCAACACCTAGGAGGGCCTCGAAAGACGGAAACGAGGGGGCCTCGAGGCAGGATCGCGGGGGGCCATCGCCTCCCAAACCATTACCAGACACCTCACTTCGCGCACCGCGCCCCACGCTGCGCGACGCCGGATACCGTCGCGCCCCCGCGCCCTTGCGCTACCACCGTGGAAAGGGGCAACCGCTCGGGCCCAGACCGCGGTGCGCGAGGCGCGACTATCTTCGCGCGCGCCCTCGCGGGTGACTAGGATACCGGGGTCCTCCTTCGGCTTCCTTAGAGGAGCAGCGACGGGGAGGGCGGCTACGAAGTCGACAGCACGATGCCGATGACAATGACGGCACGACGGTGAACGGCCAGCGCCCGAGCGATCGGCAGGGCCAACGTGAGGCTCGAGTTGCGCGGGACCCGGCTCGGTTTGTGATGTTGAAATCAATGGAGGTACTGAAGGGGCACCGGAAGACGCAAAATCATTGAAAACATCAAATGAAACCTGAATCCACATCCCTCTCCGCGCCATCGAAAAACGAATGAAAAACAGCTCAGCAAACCGTGCGAAAATCAGCGCGCCGACGCGGCGGCCGCCGAAAAAAAACACACGGCCCGAATTCTAGATACCATTTCAACCAACCATACTTTACGCGCTGATATCATTGCCCCTTGCCTTTCCGAGACGGCCATTCCTATGCGTGACATGCAATTAGGAAAAAGGTAGCGGCGGATAACGCGGGATCGATCGTCACAAGAGATCTCCCTAGATGTGCTTCTTTCGGTGGCCCAGTGTCTACTGCGGCGTAGCAGGCGCGGCACTCGGGTACCCCAAAGGGAGCCACCAGGGCTTCGTCGCCAGTGGCGCAACGGCCAATAGGAGACCCGATGCGTTTTCCCAGAGGGGCGTTCCAGGTTCTGGTCGGTTTCCCTTCCCGCAGGCCCAGCCACCCGCCCCGAGAATCCCTTCCTCCTGGGGGCTTGATCATGGGGGCGTCGCGGTGTTGCGCGCGCGGTATGCGTGCTCGGCGTTGCCGATTCGTGAAACCAAACGCATCGGGTTGGATATATGTACGCGCACATGGGTAGGTCCTGTCTACCGTTGTTTCCAAATAGAACGCCTATCCCTAAAGGCGCAATTGGGTACTTAGGGTTACGCCCCCCTCGTGGAAGCCTTGCAGTGCTTCTGTAGGCCAAGAAGTCACTGGACCACCCCGCGCCCGACTGCGCGCTATTCCCTTGCGGCGGCCCTGCATATACCCACGGGCGGCGTGCCCGAAACTTTCTTGGGGAGGAGGGGCGGGGGGGAGGGGGTCGTCGGACCAAGGGACGCCCGCGGGCCTACCCCCCGCAGCCCCGCGCCGCGTCACGGCCATTGTGACAATTTCAATCGGGGCGGGCCAAGGACGCAGACAGTCAAAGGGCAAGTTGCTATGCATTCGTTGCCCCTCTGGAGAGCCTCCTGGGGAACCTTCGTCGCCGTGGCCAGACTTGGGATTGATGGCTGGCGCCCCCATTGCCCCCTCTCCTCCTTGTTCGTTTCCAGGTAGCCCCGCCCAGGCCGACGAGCCCGAACGCCCGAGACCATTGAGCCGCTGGAGACATCTTCACAATCTGGCCGCGAACGCAGAATGCCCCCGCCGAGGGGCGCCCTCCCGAGGGCAGGCCAGTCCGCCGCGAGGAGGCACTTCCAGAGGGGGGGTCCAAAGGGGGCGGGGGGTTCAACGCTCAAATCCCAATCCCTCCCTCGCCCCCTCTGGTCCGAGGCCTTCGCGGTGAAGGGGGGGAATGAGGGAGGGAGGGAGGGGAATGAGGATGGAGAAAAGGAAGAAGGACGCATGCGGATGGGGAGTTCCTCCTTCCTCCCCCGTCCTCCCGCCGCCGCCCGTGCTTCCTGCCATTTTGGCCTCCTCGAGCTTCAGCCCCAATGAAGTAGCAAAGGCGTCCGTGGTGGTTGAGCCCAGATACTCGTGCATGTGTCTCTTCAGAAACAGAAGCTAGCGAGGGGGAGGAGTAGGGGAACGGGGATGGCGGGGGGGGAGAAGGGGGAGGAGGAGGAGGAGGGGGAGGAGGAGCAGGAGGAGGAGGAGGAATACAAGCAGAATGAGGGGGGGGAGAGGCGGACGAGGGGAGGAGGATGAGAGAGAGAGGAGGACCAGGTAGCAGAGCATCTAAGTGAAACCACCGCGTTCGCATTGTCCATGGACGCACGCCTCGCAGCCTTGGCCCGCGCCCGCGATGCTTTGGCCGAGCGCCGGCGGCAGCGAGCCGACGCAGCGGCTGGCGCGTTGGTGCCAGCCGCTGGCGCGTTGGCGCCAGCGGTTGCTGCGGCGAAGCCTCCACAATTGACCGAAGAGACGTTCAGGCGAGTGTGCGAGCCCCGTATTCCATTCCAGACTTCTCCTTTGACCTGGGCTTTCAACGTGGTTGGACGATTGGCTTCGGTGGCTTCCGACGATGACTTGGACGCCGACGTGCTCGCCATTGTTCGCGAACATTGTGTCGATCCGTTGTCCACAATGTGCAAACTACAGTCAGGACATGCGGCAGACGTGCCGCGATGGAAGCTGAATTCGTCTTTGCCGTTGGTTGCGTCGTGCGTGTCAGCTTGCGAACGCATTGCGCACCATCGGTTTATGAAGGCTATCGAGAGCATCCCAGCAGCCAAACTCTTGTGTGTAGATTCAGCCAGGTACGATGAGACGCCAATGCGGCTTACAACGAGAGAGCAGGTAGTCAACCTTTTCTGGAGCAGGGCGCCTGGGAGGCAGATGATACGAGCTCATGCGAGTACTCTTGCTAAAGACACGACGATTGGTAAGTTGTTTCAAACTGAGTCTCGGTGGGGCGTTCTCTTGAAGTTCGATGTGCCACCTGAGTCTTCTGATAATCCATACGTGATGATCATCGGCGAGACTACGAATTGGATCCAGGTCTTGGCCTCTACCACGGCCGAATCTCTGTACGCAGCCCTTTTGGCCACCGACGCCGTGACAGACGCCACCCACGCATTTAAGAATAAAGTCCGCCACGCCACGACCGACAAGTACGGTGCTAACCTCGTGGCGGAGGCTCACATGACCAACCACCGCAACAGCACGTCGCCGACGCCGTGGTTCGGCGTCCATGAACCATGCGATGTCCATATTGTGTCTGCCGTGCACACCAAGACATTTGCCTTGACCGCGGATTTCATATCTGGCCTTATCAACGTGAGCTTGTCGCTCGGTGGTGGTGACAACATGCGGAGATTCAGGAGGTGCTTGGCAGCTGACATAGATGATAAGTTGATGATCAAATTTGGTGAGCCGCCTCCAGGCGCTGTCGAATACCGCAACATGATCCTTTCACTCTTCTTGGCCAGGGGGACTCGGGCAGCAGAGCGACGGGCCTTGCTCACCAAGTGCGCGCCAGGAGATTGGAGAAATGTTGATAACATCGAGTTCTACTGCGAGCACGGGTCTGAGCCACAAAGGAAAGAGATTGTTGAATGGGTGCAAGACGGGCTCCTTGCGGCGCTTGCTCACAGGTCTTACAGCACGTACCCGCGTCACAGGTGGACAGGCTGTGACATCAGCACCGACGAGATTGGCATACTCGCAGCTTGTTCTGGCATCCTCGGCAGGGTGTACCCAGCGTTTCTCAGAACGTTCGCCAGAACGAAAAGACCTGCCCGCGCCGAGCGCGAGGCTGGTGCAGATCCACTATTGCCTCTGGAAGCGCCCGACATCGTCCCAGCGATCATGGACATGGATGGGGCAAATCCCGCGCCCGCTGGCCAGGGCGGAGGCAATGCCGCCGAGGCCCCGAAGGAGACTTGGCAGGAGGCGCAAGCTCGCCACAGGAAGGTGGGCCAGGCGTTCGTCGAGTCAAAGCCTCTCGGTCTACTGATGATTGCTCGGACGTGCATGGAACCCTTGCGAATATTATTAGCAGCGCACTTCAGGCTGGCGGGTAACAAATGGGAGCGGCAGCAGCGAGCGGCCGAGGTGGCGAACTCCTTCAGCCACGCCGCTGGCGGTAAGCCGCGTGAGTACCGAGTCGCCATTGCAGCAGAGATGAAGCTGGAGGACGACCTCGACGCGCACCTGCACAGACTGTTGTTTTCGCTTGAACAGTGGGTGCACCTGCCACGTGAGTGGCAAACAGTGGCAGGTCGGTCTTTGATACTGCGGATGCTTACTCGCATTGGGTGCGCAGTGGCCGAGCTTCTCCGACTGCCTCATCGTCGTTTCCACAACAGTCTCTTCATGTTACTATCTGACCCTACCTTGTACGACGTTTTCAAGGACACACCTCGCTGTGCCTTGGGCGATTGGAGCTACGAGATGCTTCAGCAATGGGACGAGGACTCTAACGGCGCTGACGTGCTGATGCAGCTCAGACTGCTGGCAATTCTCATCAAGAAAGACATCAGCAAGATCGAGACCATGCACGCGACGATACGCAGGCTGCTGGTGAGCATGAGCGTCCAAACGCACTCTGTTGAGGGACCGCTTCTCTCCTCGAAGTGGGTCTGTGCAAATGTGAGAAGGAGGCGCATCGAGACGACCAAGGGGCGGTTCGTGAAGCCAGTCGCCGCAACAAAGAAAGTTACGACCGCCAATTCGAGAGCGCCTAAAGTGAAGAAGTGGGCTGGCGGTGGTTGTCGTGCTTACGCTAGTGCGCACTACGCGCCTGGGGGGCGACCTGACTGGAGGAGGCTAGCGGCCGAGTACAAAGCTTTGTCGCCCGATGCAAAGGCGTACTACGTCGAGCTTGGTAGGCTTGCCACTGTCGCGGGCAGGGGCATGGCAGTCACAAGGTCGGCATTCGGGGTGACGTTCGGAAAGGCTCAGAAGGCTGCTCGACGAAAGCTGAGACGTGCCGTGGCCGATAGAGCACGCGATCTGCAATCGGACGAGGCATTGGTTGCCCAGCTCTCCGCCGAGGTACTCCAAGAAGGACGTGACGGCCCTGGGGATTTCTCTGAGTCAGTTCAGTTGGTGCAGAGCCTTGCGCGGGCAGGGGTCCGCTCGGCTGGCCAGGCGTCTGCCAGAGAGGACGCGCGGATCGACCACGCGCTGGCCGCGTTCACCCAGGACGCAGGCATTCGCCAGTCAGCGAAGTTGATGGCTGCCGCCCCTGGCCTGTCGACGTTTTCGGAGGCGCTCGTGCCAATCCCGCATTCTGCGTGCCCCCTCTTCGACTACGCACCCGACAGCGGCCTGGTCGGCGGCAAGGTTGCGGCTTGGGCGTCCCGCCACGCCAGGGACTCGAACTTCGCGTCCGCTTTGAAGTGCGACTGGGAGATGAAATCATGGCCAATCTCTCCAGGACCCGCGCACTCTGGCGGAGGAGGCGATGAAGCTCGGCTTCGGCCTTCGAAATGTCAGCTTGCTGCCGTGTGCCTGTGCTCGGAGGAGGGCAAGCAGCTCGAGAAGTTTTGCAAGAACTTGCTCGCGGCCCTGAAGCCCATGGTTCCAGCCAAGTCGGCGGCGCGCAGCGCTTTGCTCGATGGCAAGATCGTGTGCAGACTGACTTGGACAAGGAGCGACGTCGATGATGATCATGCCGCTGCTGCACCTGTCGGTTCGCCGCCGCCGCCTCAGCGCCAGGGTGACGTGTGGATGCATATTGGCATGATGTACCTGAGCCCTTACAGGCCGTCGTGGCACCTGGTCGAGAAGCGGCACGACGGCGATGGCCGCGTGTACGGCCTTGGCATCCCCATGAAGGCGACCCGTCGGGTTCACCAAGCTTATAGTTAAACTTGCAGTGCTTTGTAAAACATATGTTTGCCAGATGCAACAATCGAAACAGCGACCTCTCTTAGCTGCCATTCAAACATACTTGGCACTGCAATGTTTTGCAGGCGACTGGGAGATACAACGACTTCTACACGCCGCTGAGCGACCTTGAGCTGGGACACCGAACGTGGACACTGCGCGCCTATCAGATTTACGAGAGCGACCAGCCTTGCTCGCACTTCATCCCTGCCTACTTCGAGGTCGTTGACCTCGCGGACATCGGCGATCGCCAGTACTGGCCGAAATTGAAGCGGAGGCAGGCCGATCGACCACCAGACGACGAACCTGCAGCCCCAGGATCCGATGAGGACGATGGTGCCGATGACGAGCCCCGCGCCGAGCCTGACCTTGAGCCTGCCGAGGACGGCGACGAGCACGCTGGCCAGGACGGGCTCCACAACTTGGACGAGGTGGACGCCAGCCTCGAACTCGAGGCCCTGTTGGCGCTGAGCGACGCCCTCGAGGAGATCCGCATGGACCGCTGGTTACCAAATCAACACATAAGGCTCTCCTCCGCCTCCTCCTCCTCGCCCTCCTCCTCCTCCTCCTCCTCCTCCTAACTCGTCTTGCGTGGCGTTCCTGGCAGCCCTTGGCCACCCCGCCTCCGCGCAAGCTCGACTGGGCGCCGCCGTGTATGTATGTGTATGCACATATGTATATACACATAGAAGGATCGAAGACGACTACGGCAACTCACCACTTCCCTCCCATAGGTCAAACATGTTTCAACCCCGTTAAAAAATGTTGGACGGCCTCCTAGGGGCCTCCTCTAGACCCAACATGTGTCAAATCGATTGGAATCATGCTGGATGGCCT